CCTGGGTCAATGGGGGGTGCAGTGACTGGCAGGTGGAGGGAAGTCCTGCTGGTCCAGGATGGGGGACTTGTTGGTCAGCTGCAGGCTCTTACCGGGACCAGTCCATGACTCCTTCTGACCCGGAGTGGAGATAACCGGGGCCTTGGGCTTTGTGATTGTCTGCCAGAAACTGATTCTGCACCTTCTGTTCTCAGCTGGTCAAAAGAATTGGACTGGTTATAACTGAGGGCACAGAGCAGAGAAAATCATGTTGAGACATCAGAAGACTCGCTCCCACAGAGGACAGTCAGTTTTTGGCAGAACGCCGGCGCCAGTGGTCAGCAGCCGGGGCGTCGGCAGTGTCCAGGTATGGGACAGTCGAGTCCAGTTCTCTGACAGTGACCAGAGATTCAAGGATCTGTTCTTCATCAGGGCTGTGATCCAGAGTGGATATTCTCCCCTCCACAGGAAGGGGCAGGTGGGTGAATACAACAGCTAACACAACTGGTTTGGTGTTTTCCAGTTGGGTGTGAAAGACTAAAAGTGAGGCTTGAAATGAGTTCTAAATTCAGGTTTCAGGTTAATTATTGAGCGGATTATTGAGTCTGACTGTACTTGTAGGGAAATAAAAGTTATATGACTGGGAGGGTTGATTACTTTACACCGACATGTTCTTCAGGCTGCAACCAGGTTTCAGTGAGACAATAAATCTGCTGTTTCCGCGTCTCATATGAGAATGATAAAGAGCTGATCTTTGAGGGTTCAGACTGGTTTGTGCTTTGAGGTGTTTGGGTTCCTGCAGCGCTGAAGAAGGACGACCATCGAGCTCATGAGAGGAGCAGAAAGCTGTTTGACTGCAACAAGTTCAGTAAGTGGACCTTTGATTTGTGTTTGTGACCAACAAGCTGCCGTTTGTCTGCTGCTGTCGACGTCCACCATCACCTCNTGCAGCTCCACACTGTGACTGATGGAGAAGTGCAGCTGATGTTGAGGTGATCCGTTGGAGGCTGATGTCAGGGTGCAGAGGGCCGCCTGCATGTGCAGAGTGTGCAGGAAGCTTCAGGATGTTTCTGTCAGTGCAGGATTATATTTCACTGGACTTTCTATTTACAGTCAAAGTAGTTCAGCTTCTCTACCTGCAACACATTCAGCTGATGAGAACAAAGTGTCTGGAAACATGTGAGCTGAAGCCTTGGTGCCCAGAGAGAGCTGGATGAGGCCCGTTGGAGTGGTTCTGGTACCATCATGCTGAGGACAGACAGACAGACAGCTGATAAGAACTGGATGTGGACAGACTACAGATGTTCTCCACTGATAGAAACACATTCATTCAACATGCTGGTTGTGAAAACTTCTGCACTTCTCTGAGAAATCTGTCATTGAATGAAAAACCTTCACGTTTCAGAACCAACATTTTCTGTTCATTCCTTTCAGAAACACATCAAACCTGAATTTAACGTCTCGTCTCTGAAATAAAAGGAGACGTTTGTGAAATGTGGATAAATTTGGTGTAAAATGTGTTTCAGCATTCTGTGGACACTGACTGACGACCAGATTTCACTGAAGGATTTTTATAATTACAGATAAAAGTGCAAACAAAAATTCCAATAAATCCGTTTACACAAAGAACGAAACACTCACAGCTGTTCCTGCCACCTGTGAATCCAGGTAATTCTCAGTATGTTCTTGGTAGTCACAGCCAATCAAAACGCTCTTCTGCTACCAAGAATCGACCAGGATTGTAAGCTCTGGCCAATCAGCGCTCATGTTGCTAGGAAGACCCGCCCCCGTGACCAAGAACTGACCAATAGGAGACTTGATGCTGCCAAAAACTGATCATCTGCCGACAACTGACTGATCTTCATGTTGAAGCATTTTTGTAAAGTTTTTTTTTGTTTATTGTTTTAATCTGGATCAAACAGTCAGAACATGACAATGCACATAATGTTATTTCTGTGGTCACAGCAGAAGGACGTCTTTTGTTAAACTTTAGTCTTGTCACAGTTTATAGTGTATTCAGGTCTGATATTTAAGATAATTGTAGGCAATACCATTGTATGTATTTCTGATGTTCACGCTATGATGCGTTCAATGTCATTTTTTAGACTGTAATCAACATGATTTATGGATGCCTTAATTTAGAAATGATCTCTGTTTTCTTTAAAGTATGCAGGGTTTTTCTGTGTATTGATTTGTTCCTCATATATTCCTCCTGTTATTCTTATTTAGTTAAATAATCACAACCAACTTCACCCTAAAATATTACTCTGGTATGTCAATAAATAACAATGGTCCTTATGTTTGTCACAGTCTTTATCTCCTTCATCTTCACTTGATGTTCTTTGTTTGGCTCTAAATTAATCCTACTTCATATTTCTGTGTTATATTAGTCACTGCTGTGCATATTCACCGGTTTAACTAGTTAGGAACGAGCAGGACTCGATCCGTCGATCTCCGGGAGCATCTTTCCTGGTAGTTTTGTCCGGCTGGTTCATTTAAGGGCTTCGCTTCCGGTAGCGCAGTGAGAACGAGCTCCTATTGGCTGATTGTCCGAGCTGTCCAGTGATTGGCTCATTGACCGCCGCAGTCAGTTACGTCTAATCGTGCGGTGAGGTGAGCGCATCAAGGTCACATCAAGGCCGCTTGTTGCCGCCATGGGTCGCTGCGGGACCGACTTTCTCACCGGACACCGTTTTATTAAGGAGTAAATCATCCGCACCGGACGTCCGAAGCTGCTCCCGCCGCCGGTGCTCTGCCTCCGGTTCCGAAGCCGAATTTTACCGTGTTTGGTGTCGGCTCGGAGCTCCGCCGCTCTCTGTGACCTCACCGACCCCCGGACTCGCCCTTAACCAGGGTAAGTTCAGTATCTGTTGCTGTCGATTCTTTTAGGTCGTTGCTGTCGGTTGTTTTCGGTGCTGTCGACTTTGCTTGTTTCGGTTTGGTGACCTGTTGTTGTTTTTGCGTCGTTCACGGTGTTCACGGAGCTGATGGCGCCGCAGCTCGGCCTTGCCGCCATTTTGTCGCTGCGGTCAGTCGCTCTTCTGCGACGGAAAAAAGTAAAAGCTCTAGTGTTCGACACCTCAAAAACTGCTAATAATGTGGTGTTTTTCTCATTCTATCGACGGTTTTTACTTAATCACTCGTTCCATGTTTGTGAAATTCTCCACAGCGCCATTCAAAGTTAGTTTTAATTCACCTTCAACAAGGAGAGTCGTTTTTACTAAAGGAGACGACGCCATCTTGGACTGCGATATCCAGTCTGCTAGCAGGAGGCTAATCTTCTGTTAGCTTTATGCTGCTGTTGTGTTCCAGATTGACTTTGTCACCCACATAGTTTAATAGCATTTACAATTGTAGAGCTGCTGATTGTTCAGTTCGTGGATATTTATTTAGAATCTATACTGGCCCGTTTATTGGTCCATTTACTTGCAGCTGCTGAGCGAATTTCCAGTTGGGTAGTTTTGTTTCGTGGCATTTCCTGCAGTAGCCGGTTTGCGTGATGATGTAGCAGCATTGTGTTTATGGCTGTATTCCAGCTGTAATACTTTTACTGTTTTAATTAGGGTCCGAGCACCAAAGGGTGCGAAGACCCTATTGGAACTGCTCGGATTATTATTATTATTCGTGCCAAAGACACGCGTTTTTGAGGCCCTAAACATACTCGAAANTCTGCTTCGTCCATCTGAGCGTTCAGGAGTTTCTGGCTGCAGTCTACATGCTCCACTGTTACACCAACAGGAACCAGGAGGTTCTGGAGGACTTCCTGGGAGAAGACTGGAAAGAAGAGAACAGAGACACTCTGGATGTGTTCCTGATCAGAGTCATGCAGAAATCCCTCAGAAGCAGAAATGGTCACCTGGACCTGTTTGCTCGCTTCCTTCATGGCCTCTGTCTGGAGTCCAACCAGAGACTCTTAGGAGGCCTGCTGGGCCAGACACAGAACCATCCAGAAATGATCCAGAGAGTCATCAACAACTTGAAGAAGATGAACAGTTATGAAATGTTTCCAGACAGAATCATCAACTTCTTTCAGTGTCTGAAGAACATGACCAGTTATCAAATGTCTCCAGACAGAAGCATCAACATCTTCCACTGTCTGATGGAGATGAAGGATCTCTCAGTACATCAGGAGATCCAAGAGCTCCTGCAGTCAGAGAGCAGATTAAAGAAGGAACTCTCTGAGATCCACTGCTCAGCTCTGGCCTACATGCTGCAGATGTCAGAGGAGGTTCTGGATGAGTTGGACCTGGACAAGTACAGAACAACAGTGGAGGGACGACGGAGACTGATTCCAGCTGTGAGGAACTGCAGAAAGTTTCGGTGAGCCCAGATGTGATGAATATGACCAGTCAGTGTAGATCAGTAGTTCAGTTCTTCACATGTTCTCACTAGAACGTCTCATTATTTCAGCAGGAGTGATATTGGTTTGTAGTTTTCAAACTGGGCTGGGTCAAGTGTAGTTTTCTTGAGTATTGGAGTGACTCGAGCTTGGTTAAATGTAGCGGGGAACACACCCATAGCAAGTGAGGAGTTGATGATATGTGTTATTGCAGAGCTAGGTGCTGAGGAAATGGTTTGTAAGAGGTTGGATGGTATCGGGTCCAGTGGACACGAGAGTCCAGCAATAGCTTAGCCTCCTCAGTCAGAGGGAAGAACAAGGAGAATATGGTCCTATGAGCTGGTGGCTAAATAGCGAGTTGGTCAGACTAAGAGATCTGGTTACTGATTGCAGAGACTTTGTCCTTAAAAAATGAGGCAAACATGTCTGCAGTGAGCAGAGTGGAGAGTGGTGGAGGAGGTGGGCGGAGGAGTGAGTTCAAAGCAGAGAATATTTTTCGAGCATCTGTTATGCCACAGATCTTGTTCTCATAGTACTTGGTCTTAGCAGTTTTTAAACTGAAGGAGAATGATGCTAGTAGACCTTGACAGATAGATTAAGTCGGAGGGCTCTCTGGATTCACAGCATTTTCTTTCTGCTGCTCTGAGTTCCACTCTTTGCTTTCTGGTGTCATCAGTGAGCCATGGACAAGAGGGAGATGTATGAGCCGGTTTGGATGTTAGAGGGCAGAGATTGTTCAGAGAGGAGACTAGTGAGGAACAGAGAGTGTCTGTGGCCTCATCAACCAGGAGTGAGGAGAATCTGTTATGAGGAGGCATGGAAGACCTCATTAGAAAGCTGGGATTGCTGCGGAAGGAGACCATTTGTGGAGGAACTTCTGGTAAGGAGACAGTGAATTGAATAAAATAGTGGTCTGACAGATGAAGCAGAGTGACACTCAGATTTGCTGTGGAGCAGTTTCGACAGAAAATCAAGTCAAGCTTGTTACCCGCTTTGTGTGTGGGAGGGATCGAGACCAGCTTCAGGTCAAAAGATGCCATAAGTGATAGAAAGTCATTTCCTTAAAACCAATGATGAAACCAAACAAAGATTCAGAGTGTGCAGGTGTGAGAGAGGCTGATGAGA